GAATGCTTTAACCACTGTGCCACTAGGGCTCCTCTTTGTCTCTCTCTCTCTATGTGTGTGCTATACATATACACACACAATAAAAAAAAAAAAAAAAAACAATGTAAGGGACAATGTAAATAAAAACTTCTATTTATTAGAGTGAAGAGGACAAAGAAGAAAGCAGAGGCATCAGTGGTCACTTCCCCTTTTTCACCTCCTCTGTCCAAGGCAGGGTTCGCCACTGTCCTCCTCTCTGCATGGTCATAGAGGAAGTCACTCCTTGTAAACCAGACCTTGGCTCCTCCAGGACCCCTACCATCCTACCAGGCACAATGTGATACACTCCTTCAGCAGCCCCGGCCTGTGGCCAGCCCCCTCGTGGTCCAGTGCCAGCCTCTGCTTCTGATGATAGAGAGGAGGCTTCCTTCTTAAGCTCACCCCAGTGTGAAATGTCAGAGGGTACAGCTTATTTTTTATTGGTTGCTGATTCTTTCTCCTTTCTTTTAAACAGAAACCTAGTCCAATTCTCCTTTTTAGTACAATGTGAACTAGAGCAATGTTGCTAAAGAAGCACAATACTACTTCTGCTTATTGTTCTAGAAATTTCCTGGAACTTCCTGGCTTTGCCATCTCACAAAGCAAATAAACAAAAGTGAAACAAAAACACTTGGTGACATTGCAGACTGGTACAAACTTTCTAGAGGGCAATTTAAGGAAAATGTATCAAAGGCTCTGGGGAAAAAAAAAAAAAAAAAAAAACTTTTGGCATAGGAATTCCATTTCAGGAGTTTCCTCTGAGGAAACAATCAGATAAGTGGACAAAGATGTACATGTAAAATATTTATTGCCATCTTGCACACAAGAGGAAAAATAGAAAACAACTAAACACTGGATAGAAAAATTGTAAAAGATACAGTGACATATTTATTAAAGTGAATATTGAAACGCTGTGCAAGCATAAGGAATAATGTAGTTGAGTATTAACAGTGGAAGAAAGCGGAGGCATCAGCTGTCATTCCCCTCTTTTCACCTCCTCTGTCCAAGGCAGGGTACCCCACTGTTCTCCCCTCTGGCGGCACATGGAAGAAGTCACTCCTTGTAAACAAGGCCTTGGCTCCTCTGGGACCCCTACCGTCCCGCCAGGCAGAATGTGATGCATGCCCTGCAGCAGCCCCGGCCTGTGGCCAGCCCCCTCGTCTTCTAGCACCCAGCCTCTGCTTCTGATGATTAAGTTTTAAAAAACACGTTTAAAAACAATTGGAAATCACGTTGAGAAGATATGTATTTAGCAGAGATCAATGTTTAGAATTTGTACCAAATGCAAATAGCAGTTGTCTTTGGATGGGGAAAATGCAGGTAATTATATTTGGCTTATTTGTACTTCTACTATTTCTATGATAAATAGATACTGTTTAATACAAATAACAAAAGTTAATAAACATTCAATGTTGTTGCTGTTGCTATATGCTGTCGAGTCTTCCCGAGTCATAGTGACCCCTCCTTGGGGTCCCACGCCTTTCTTCCACAGCACTGATGGATGGCTTCGAACTACCTTTTTTTTAGTAGCTGAGTGCAAACCCTTTGCTTTACCCAAGAATATTTCCCAAAATGCAACCGGGTTTATATTTTTTTCTCTTTTATAAAAGTTGTTGTAAAAATATAGGTCTCACAGTATTAGCCAATTCAACATTTTTCACTTGTACAATTCAATGAAACCAATTACACCAGTCATACCATCCCAATATTCATTGCTATAATAACAGCATATATTTTGATAAGGTAGTTCTATGGTCACACAAGTTGAAAGATTTGATCTCCTGCAATTCTGGTAATAGTATTAGTCACATACTTGCTTTTTATTCACTCAGGGTAGGTGAAGTCCAGGGGACATTGGGTTGCATATAATGTGTTTTCTTCACCATAGATCTATAAGCCCATTCTGAGATGGATCTATGTCCTGATCACTCCTGTGTAGACCACACGCTAATACTTTGCACATGGTGGAGAGAATTCCTGGTCTCTTATTCAGTGCCCTCTTTTCAAAATTACCTTTATGTCAATCTCTGAAAGGCTTTCCCAAGGAAGAGTTTTCCCAGAGCCCCATGCATGTCTTTGTTCCTCAGGCTGTAGATGAAAGGGTTCATCATGGGTGTCACCACAGCATACATCACTGTGGCCACTGAGTCCTTCATGGAATACGTGTGGAGGGGCTGCAGGTATACCATACCAAGCGTCCCATAGAAGAGGGTGACCACAGCCAGATGGGAAGCACAGGTAGAGAAGGTTTTGTACTTCCCAGTCACTGAGGGTATTCGTAAGATGGCTCTGACAATCCTGACATAGGACATGATCATGAATCCAAATGGGGTGAGGAAGATGAAGCAGCCAGTGACAATCAGCACTGTGTGATTTACCTGGGTGTTGGAACATGCAAGCCTCAGCAGGACATACATCTCACAGAAGATGTAGTAGATCTTTCGGGAGCCGCAGAAAGTCACCCTGGTCATGAGTAGGGTGTGGATGAGGCCATAGAGGACAGAGAAGACCCAACACAAGGCCAAGAGTAAGATACAGAGGCCAGGGCTCATGGCTGTAGTGTAGTGGAGGGGGCGGCAGATGGCCACATAGCGATCATAGGCCATCACAGCCAAGATGAGGTTGTCCAGGGCCACCAAGGAGACCAGGAAGTAGAGCTGTGTCAGGCACCCTTCGTAGGAGATGGCTTTGCTCTGGGACTGAAGGTTCACCAGCATCTTGGGGATTGTGTTGGTGACAAAGAAGAGGTCGGTGAAGGACAGATTGGCCAGGAAAAAGTACATGGGAGTGTGCAGGCGGGAGTCAGAGCCAATGGCCAGGATGATGAGCACATTTCCCACCACCGTGACCAGGTACATGGGCAGGAACATCCAAAACAGGATTCTCTGCTGCTCAGGATTCTCCGAGAGTCCAACGAGCAGGAACTCAGAGGTCCCAGTCTGGTTGTCTCCATCCATTTCCCCAACAGTCTGCAACGTTAGCACCAATAAATGTTTACCAAGTGCCCTCAACTGAATAAAGACATCCAGATAAGCAATAACAAGTTTTCTTAGCATTAATAATATCTTGAACTAGATTTTATAATTTTTCATATAAGGAACAAAAGTAGTAACAGACAAAAACATAGAAGGGAAGGTTTCTATGCAACTTACTTATCAAAAGCAACTTTCTAATCTACTCAACATTGTAGATTTAATGTCTATGTTTTATTTTTAATCCTAGCATAATACTATTTTACAATAGCTACAGACCTGTTTAATATTATGCATTGCCTTTACATTTTACGAGGGATCTCTAGTGACACAGTGCCTAAGGTATTTGACTGCTAACCAGAAGGCTGGCGGTTCAAACCCACCAGCCACTCCACAGAAGGAAGATGGAGCAATCTACTTCTGTGAAGATTTACCTCATCGGAAACCCAATGGGGGTCACTAGGAGTTGGAATTCACTCAATGGCAGTGGGTTTGGTTTGGTTTTGGTTACGTGTTATGAGATTTTATAGTCTTAACATAATGTTGAAACAGGTGCATGCCTTCGAAGAAATGGATATTATACAATTGAACAAAGGGGAAAAAGGAAAATATGAAAAAGGAGAAAGAAAAATTGCCATCATTTGTTGATATGATGATCTATTTGGGAAATGAAGAGAATGAACTGAAACACTCTTAGATATAAAAAGAGAATTCAGTAAGGTGGCCAATTATAAAATGCACAGATCTCAAACTAATAGTGCTCCCAAGAAGCCAGGTAGTGTGGTGATTAAGACTGTGCTGTCAGACTATGGTCCCTAGCTGCCCTTTAGGTCTGGAATTGAAACAACTCCTGTGGCTTCCAGCCAAACAAAAGGCATATGAGCTGAACCTTTACATCAGGTAGATTCACTCCTCGGAGAGATCAATCATGGGAGAATAGAAGGGCTGTGTATGCACAAGGAGACAGCTTGAGGGGCAGTTGTGCATGGGAAGGAAGGACACAGAGAAGAGGTGTCTATGGGGAGGAAGTGGGAGGGGAGCTGTTGCATTGACATTGCAGTCTATGTCATGAGACAAAGTGTAAATGAATTGCCGTA